TTTTAATGTTTATTTATTTTGAGAAAGAGAGCATGAGCTGGGGAGGGGGGAGGGAGACGAAGGGAGAGGGAGGGAGGGAGGGAAGGGGGCAGAGAGAGAGAGAGAGAGAGAATGAATCCCAAGCAAGCTCTGCACTGTGCAGACGCAATGCTCAATCTCACGACCAAGAGAGAAATCAACATCTGGGTCCTTAACCAACTGAGCCACCCAGGCGCCCCCTGCATCCTATTTTATCATGAGAGAGCCCATCATTGGCCTCTGGAAGGCGTTCAGTAAATATCAGTTTAATTAGAATGAAGTGGGGGTAATCCTGATTACTAAATACATTAGTCTTTTCTCTAATTTCCATCACAGCTCCAGACAATTTAATATAATGAGTGCAGGCTGACTGCCCTTCAACATTTTCACTGAGATACAGAGAATACACTCAGAAGTTCAGTTTTGCAGGACCATGACTATCCTGGCAACTGCTGCACCCAGATGGTAAGAACCATCAATGTGTGTACTTTGTTTTCTCCTGTCTTTTCCAAAGAGACAGGTGATTCCAGCTTGAGTTTTCCAATCGTAAAAGTCACTGATAGGGTGTGTGACTAGCTCAGTCAAAAGAACATGTGACTCTAGCAAGAGAGAGCACAAGCGAGGGAGACAGAGAGAAAGAAAGCGGCTCATGCAGGCTCCATGCCCAACGCAAAGCTCGACGCAGGGCTCAATCCCAGTACACGGTGATCACAACCTGAACCAAAATCAAGAGTCAGACACTCCACCAACTGAAACACCCAGTTGCCCTGAGCATGTGACTCTTGACCTTGCGGTCCTGAGTTCAAGCCCCACGTTGGGTACTGAGATTACTTAAACAAAAACTTTAAAAAATAAAAATAAAAAACAAAATTAACTGATGACTCTCTGAAATGAAGACATGTGAGATTCTGTAACTGGCTGCACTCATCAACAAAGTACTTAACGTAAGAAAAACAGGACGTACGGTAGATTCTTTTTACATAGTGAAATAATTCTTTCCTCCAGCCCCCAAAGGAAGAAAATTTAATCAAGAATTAAAGCAAGAGGAATACATGTTACTGTCATATTACTTTACCTTTAAATGTTTAAAAATCCCCGCTGCAATTTTTAGGCTTCGATGGACTTCTTTTGCTTCATCTTCTGTTATGCTTAAAGACAGTGATTACGTCAGTTAGAGGATGAATCCTGTTTCTTGTATTAAAACCAACAACTAGTGAATTATCATAAAACCAAATTAGTCATTTGTTTCTCACTAGTGTCTCACTAGTGGTGAGACAATTAATTGTCTGATTTAATTGTCTGATTTAATTGTCTGATTTGACAATTAAAAAAGTAACAAATGCACATGAGGAATATCCAGAGAAGATACTACAAATTAAAAAAAAGAAAGACTCTATCTATAGGTCTAGTTTTTCCTTCCAGATAATGTTCTGTGCATTAAACAAGTTCAAAATATTCTACACTTGGTGCATGCACACACTTAAAAAAACACACACACACACAATATTCACTATTCTGCTCATTTTAATCATATAAATTACTTTAGACATAATTTTACAACAGCACGTACAATTCAACTTTATTTTTTAAGATTTTATTTTTAATGTTTACACCCAACATGGGATTCTAATGCACAGCCCTGAGATCAAGAGTCACGTGCTCTACTGACTAAGCCAACCACGTGCCCTGACAATTCAACTTTATTTTGAAATAGCTGCATATTATACACATGTTCACATGTACCACAGCTCATAGTTGCCAGTTTCACATTGCTGACATCCACGTCTACTATTATAAAAACTGCATCTTATTTCATGTCACAATTCTTTAATCCTTCAAAACATTTTTCACATACTTATCTTTGTATTTCTTTTTCTAGGAGCTGCCTGTTCATGTCCTTCACTTATTTTCAATTGATTTGTTGATCCTTTCCTTTCCTCTTTATTTTCCATTACAAAAACAATTTGTCACATGCATTACGATTTTTTTGACCATCTGTCATTTGTTTTTAACTTTATTTATGGTACTTTTATGCAGTCCAATATTCAATTTTTTCCTTTTCTTGGTATAGGGTTTCATTTAGATAAGACCTCTGACAAGATTAATTTTTCTTTCCAACACTGGGCTCCATAATTCTGACACTTAAAACACTAACATTATGAGGCAACCTCGCACTTAACAGAAGTGGTACTTTTTATCAGTAGCTTAGACTTTTTAATAATGAAACTCCATATACTTGAAAAAATAACACATATGCATATAACCCTCCCCTTTAGACTTACTTTTCTTTTCCAGCCAGTCTTGAAGCATATTTGGTATACCATAAAGCTACATTAAATCCCATGGAAATTAATTCAAAAACAGCATCCTGCTGGGCACTAGAATTATAAACATGTTCATTAACTTCTGTCAATTACTGACACATCTCTATATGAAGCCTATTGTACGTTGAACTCAAAATTATAAAAACTATATGCTAATTGGAAAAATGAAGAAAACAGTCCTTATGATTAGTGACTAAAAACAATAGCCCACTATGTACTTCATGATAGTAAACATGTGAATAGTAGGTTCTCAAAGGTTATTGTACACAGAGTAGTTTTAAAAATATAAATTTGGGGGACTTAACTCCAGAGAATCAGAAAGTCTGAGAGGGGCCCAGAATCTACACTTTCAATAAGTAACCAGTTGACTCTGGAGTGGGTGGTTCTTATACCACATTTTTTAAAAAATGGAATTCAGAGGAGACACTGCTTCAGGCTAGAATGATTCAAGAAGGTTTCATGGTATAGACAGTCTCTGAATTGTGCCTTGAAAGACGGTGGGAAGGGAAGCAGAAGGACATCCCAGGTGAGGGAATGATGCTATTAAAGGCACAAGAAGGATCAACATTTTTCTGAGAGCAGTGACCCACCTAGCATGATGGAGCACATGGTTTGCAAAAAAAAATCGAGGAGCAGGTCAAAAAGCCAAACAGAAGTGAAACTGGTAAAGACACTGAATACCAAGCCTATCAGTACATGCACCACAAAGAAAAAGGTCTTAAAAACAAGCATATTCCTTCAGATTCTATTACTAAATATGACACAAAGAAGATGACAAGGGCTTACTAAAGCAAATAAGGTAATGCCAATTTTTAAATCACTATTGTTCTGAAAAGACCCTGGAAATTCTTCATCTGTCTCAAATGATGAAAACAGAAGTAATACCCTTATTTTATACACATAATACTAACACACAGAAAAATGAGCCAAAAAGAAACTAGAATTGTGATTCCACTTTGTTATTTTCTATTTAACTGTTGCCACCATCATTAAAGGAATAGAGAAAGGGACGTTTTTTAGATTAAAAAAAAGGGGGGTGTTATAAAACATTAGTCGTTCAAAAATAACTTGTGATATCCTGTTTAACGTAACATACAAAATATTGACACTTTTTTTTTAATGGAATTTCACAAATTCGTGTGTCATCCTTGAGCAAGGGCCATGCTGATCTCTGTACTGTTCCAAATTCAGTGTATGTGCTGAAGTGAGCACTAAACAAAATTTATAATTTTTCTTTTTTTTAAAGTAAACTCTAGGCCCAACGTGGGGCCTGAATTCATGACCCCAAGATCAAGAGTTGCACGCTTTACCAAATGAGCCAGCCAGCTCCCCCGCTCCATGAACAAACTCTTAAAACCGTTTTACCCCACTGAAAAAAATTTAATGCATAGTTTAAAACCTTATTCTTTTCAGCATTCAGAACATTCAAATGAATTACATCTGGTGATCTAGTAGGCATACCTAATTTATTAGTTTACCTTCAAATAATAAGAGAGGTGCACGTGGGTGGCTCAGTTGCTTAAGCATCCAACTCTTGATTTTGGCTCAGGTCATGATCTGATGTGAAGAAGCAGGCATTCACACAGTACAAGACCTGACACAG